GATGGTCAATAAAAAGAGACACTTTGACTTGGGAAAAGATTTTTTTTTTCTGAATCCAGATCTTGTTGAAAAGATACCAACATATATAAATTTAATTATTTCCTTTTTTTTTTTTTTTTTTTGACAAAGCATATTTTCCAGGAAACCGTGTTCCTGAATTAGTTATTAGAGAAGGAATTCCACAGAAGATTCTGAATTGGAGATACAGAATTAAGAAATAACCATCTCAGTTCAAGTGACTTAAAATGACCACAGATTATCCTATTCTAATACTTGGTTCTGGTTTTGCACTAAAAGCCTTTTGCTGCTCCTGAGTTGAAGTAGTCCTCACCAATCCTTGAGTTGGCTAGAAACTTACAGGTAGTCCTTGACTTACAATCACAATTGGGACTGGAATTTCTGTTGCTAAGCGATGTGGACATAAAGTGAGACATCATGTGACCGTATTGCTTAGTGACTACAATCCTGGCAATTCCCTTTGTTGTTAAGCGAATTTCACCAGTCGTTAGCTGGGGACCTACCCCAATCCAAGCCATTCCGAGCTTGGGCCCCCCCAGCCCTGAGCCTCAGTAAGGTAAGGGACTGCCTCCAACATTCCCCATCTGCTTATCTCCCTCCCATCTCGATCTTTTTGGCCACCCTACACCCAACCAGAACTGCATGGCTCTGGGGCTGCAAAAAGCCCCTGAGCCTCAGCACAGCATTAATTGCAGCTTTCCCAGCCAAGCCACGTGAAGCCACCCCGGGAAGCATTTGTTTGCCAAGCTGCCTTCTTTCCCAGTTCTCCCCACCGACCACATGCCTTTTGTGCCCAGCCCCCATGGCCCAAGCAGAAATGCCTATGCTACCTTTACTGTCTCCTTTTCAGACCCAGCTTCTCCGGCGACCTTTTCCTACATGCGGCTCCCTGAGCTTTCAGAAAGGGGCTTGCTTTTGCTGGCTTCGTGCAAAGGGGTTGTTGTTATTGCCCCTTTGTGCAAAGCCAGCAAAAGCAAGCCCCTTTGCAAGCAGTTTCTCCAGAGAACAATTCCTACATGTGACTCCCTGAACCAACCCCTGGCCATTTCCCCAGCTCTTTCCCAGGAAGCGGTTTCACCCAATGGGAAAGGGCAGGGGGTTGGTTCAGGAAGCCATGTGTAGGAATCATTCTCTGGAGAAATTCCTTGCAAAGGGGCTTGCTTTTGCTGGCTTCATGCAAAGGGGCTTGTTGGTGCAAAGGGCCAGGCCGGGCCCACCTCATCAGCAGCAGGAGCAAGCTGACAGCAAGGTGTGCTGGGGCAGCACCACATAGGGCGGCAGGGGTCTTAGAGTGCAGGGTGGCAAGAGCAATTGGGACTGGGCTGAGGTGGCTGCAGCTTCCTGGAGTGTGGCAAGCAGCCCCAGAGCCACACAGTTTTGAGTCTGCTTGCCACCCTACAAGGCAGAGTGCAGGGCAGAGATGGGAGGGGAGATGGGCAGGTGGGGGGAGTTGAAGTGCCCCTGTGGGTGGGCTGCCAAGCACCCAAAATGGATCACATGACCATGGGGGCACTGCAACAGCTCATAAGTCACTTTTTTTTAGCATCATAATTTTGATCAGACGCTGAATGAATGGTTGTTAAGCAAGGACTACCTGTTATATTAGTATAAAATTTGCTGTCTTCATTTCCAATCCTAATCATGCCTCTGTTGTCTCTGTTTCAAATCCAACCTAAGTTCCCTTCAAAATAATGGGTGACAAAGCTTAATAGATTTTAGATATTTTGAGTTTGCCCTTGTAATGTTGCAGAATAAGGAAGAAGATGCTACTTTAACACTGACTCTTATTCATGGGCTAGGAGCTAGATGAAGACAATGTCATGGGGACAGAGCAGAAAAAAGGATCTTTCTGCCACAGTTATGGACAAATGATGAAAAGCCTGATTGATCATCTACTGATATGCCCATAGAATAGTCAGTTTTTTCTCTCTTTTTCTTTACAGTGAACTGAAGAAGAAATACAACATAACAGCCATTCCCAAACTTGTGATTGTTAAACAAACTGGAGAAGTCATTACTGATAAAGGGAGAAAACAGATTCGTGAGAGAGGGCTCAACTGCTTCCAAAACTGGCTTGAAGTGGCTGATGTCTTTCAGAATTTTTGTAGCTGAACCAAAATAGTATTTGCAGACTTAAACAAAACAAAATCTTTGCTACACTGTTTTTATCTGCAACAAGCCTAAAAGGGGGGAAATTACATTCTCCTTTTTTAATGTTGATTTGCTTATTTTTGAATTCTACATGGCTGAAATAATTAAACATATTTGAGCCTTTCATAAATTCTCCTTTCTATATTGTTGCTATTTATATTTTTATTACATAGAAGATAACAAAAGTAGTCTTAATATTATTGAACAATTTGATAAAACTGCTGTTCTAATAGGTCTATATTTAGCTCTTAAAAAGAGTGCTATCTTAAATCTATGCAAGTACTTTATTTTTGCAAAGATAAAAACTGTATAAAGAAAATTTAATTCTTGACAATGTGATTTATTTGCATGTGGATTTAAAATGTATATACTAGTATAATAATAGAACTTGTTTTAATAAATTTATAGTTGATCTGTCTTTGCCTTTTGTGGAACAAATAATTGAAAAGGAAAGTGTGTGGTTCTTTGTCTGATGCTATCACTTTCTAAATCTTAATGTTTGGGATGTAGCTGCTCTGGATCGTAAAATCAGTTGCATTGTTCTGTTTGCAAGATTTTCATTTTCTTTACCCAACTGGGTACCATCTATAGTTATTGGATTAGATTTATCATCTCAGTGTGATCATTGACCAGATTGAGGAAGGCTGCATTAGATGTTTGTGTCATTGATGGAATTCAGGTAGATGGTGGCATCTAGGTAACCTTGATTAATGTGGCAGAGCTAACAGGGTTGGACCTGGTTTTAATTGCTTGCTTTTCACTTGCAGTTGGGATGCCATGGGGCCGATAACAATAGGTTATAAGGTAAGGGTACTGATACAAAATCCAACTTTAGCCATTTTTTTCATCTATAGAAGTCAAGGCTTAAAGCCACTTCTACTGAAGAAATAGCTAGAAGAACATAGAAGTTTGTTTCCAGCTTATTAACTAGGGCAGGAATGGGAAGTCTTTTAAACATTCAGAGCTTCACACAGTGCTGCATGTGCTTGGTTGTTCATGCAAACCCCAGTTCACATACTGTTCATATCCTATTTACAAGGTTGCTTACATAATACACATGCAAAACACACCATTCTGACTAGAGACATGCAGGTTCAATTGGCTTGGAGAAACCGCAAGCAATTAACCTTCACAAACTGCAAGTTGTGTATCTTGCAGAAAAATGACTGTACAACAGCTCCCTCTTTCTCATAGCAACTGACTTTGGGAGGTTACATTAGTGTTAATATTTCTCTTGTAAAATTCATATCTAACCAAAGGCATTCAGGATGACTGAATAGAATCCTTATGTCTAGAAATGTATGCACAAGGGTTTTGGAGTCCCTTGAAATGCTATAGATCTGAAGTAAACTAATATGTTTAAGTTTTCTCCAAAAGCAGTAAAACTATGCAACTAATGAAGGAGGATCTTTTTTAGATGGTAATTATCAGCATCTAGGTAAGGGTTGCTTTGACTCACAGAAAAAGCTTGCCCTGCTATACTGAAAGATTTGCATCTTTTTTCTTTTGACAACTTTTATATTACCAATTGCTTTTTAAATTCCTCTTGATTTCAAAAGCAGTGTGCCATACAGCATTCAGAACTATTGGCCAAAGAAAATAAATCTAAAGTCTTTATTTTGACTCCTAGAACTAATTTTATAATTTCTATGGAGCTGATCTGCGTCAAAATCTTTTATCATCACAGAAATAATGTGTAAGATCCTATAGGTTTCTAGACCTGTGATACCTTATCTGAGATAAAAGTAATGTTTCCTTTGAGTCGTCCACATCCATGTAGTTCCCTTGGCAACAATGTTGGAATGGTTTGCTATTGCCTTCTTCTGATTTATTTATATATATATATAGTGTGTGTGTGTGTGTGTGTGTGTGTGTGTGTTAATTTCCATAATAGCCAAAATCCCTAAGACTTCCTGATGGTCTCCCATTTAAGTCCATCTCTGTTTTTTTTTATG